CCTCTCCCTCCTCCCCCGATCCCGATCTCGATTCATCCCCGCTCCCGTCCACGTGTCCATCCCTTGTGATCCCAACCCCCACTCTCTCCCACTCTCCCCTCCCAACCTCTCCCTCCTCCCCCGATCCCGATCTCAACTGATCCCGGCTCCCGTCCACGTTCCATCCCTTGTGATCCCAACCCCCACCCTTCCCCACCGAACCTCCCCCATCCACGTCTCCACGTCTTGCGATCCCGACACCCCCCACCCCCTTCCCCCAGCGACTCTCCCCTCCAAACCTCTCCCTCCTCCCCCGATCCCGACCTCGATTCATCCCCGCTCCCGTCCACGTGTCCATCCCTTGCAATCCCAACCCCCACTCCCTCCTCCACGTCTTGCGATCCCGACACCCCCCGCCCCTCCTCCAACGACTCTCCCCTCCGAACCTCTCCCTCCTCCCCCGATCCTGACCTCGATTCATCCCGGCTCCCGTCCACGTGTCCATCCCTTGCGATCCCAACCCCGACCCCGACCCCCTGAGCTTTCCTTTCTCCGTTCCCATCCCCCATCTCGACCTCGACCACGACTTCCCGCTTCTCCATTCTCATCCCCCCTCCCGACCTCCCCATCCCATCCCAATCTTGATACCTTCCCAACTCTTTCTCCCCGATCCCGACCTCTCCCTCGTCTCTTCGCGTTTCCAATCCTGACCTCCCGGTCCTGACCTCCCCGTTCCGACCTCTCTCTCTTTCCCTTTGCTTTCCGGACCGCGTCCCAACCCGTCTCCCATCCCCACCTCCCCACTCCCATGCCATCCCGCCTCGACATCGTACTCCTCCCTCCTCTCTTCGCGTCTCCCATCCCGACGTCTCGGTCCCAACCTCCAACCCCGATCTCCTCGTGCTGACCTCTCCGTGCCTGTGGCAACCTCTCCTTCTCCCCCCGATCTCTCCCTGTCCCAGCTCTCCCTCCCTGATCCCGACCCTCTCCCGGTCCTGACCTCCCATTGCGACCTCCCCGTCCCGACGTCTCACTCTCTCGCCTTGCTTTCCCGACCGCGTCCCAACCCGTCCCCGACCGCCTCCCTTCCCGATCTACTCGTCCCCACCTCTACCTCTCTCCCCTTGCTCTCCCGACCGTGACCTCCCGATCTGACCCCGACAGCGCAA